GCAGCGGGGCGGAGCGTGCGCACTGCGGCGCTGGCCTGGCCGACCCGGGCAGTGCGCATGCGGGCGGCTGGCGCAGGCCCGGCGGTTGGGCGGCCGTCGCTCCGGCCCCTTCTTTCCACTGCCACGTACGGGTGGTGGTGGCGGCGGCGGTGCCCGGGCGAGGAGGGGGCCTCCACTCGGCGGGACCGCGGAGGAGACAGAGTAAGAGAGCGGGGCTGCTCGCCCTCCCTGCGCCGCGCCGATGCCGGGGGGCAGCCTTTGCCGCCTGTGTGAAGGCGGCGGGAGGGGCGGCTGAGGGCAGGGGGTGAGCCCCCCCTCGCTCACCGGTTGCTGGGGCGACTTGGCCCCTGGCGGAGAGGCTGGGAGACCCTTCGCATCCCCCCCGGCCGCGCCTGAGGGAGGCCGACGCCATCCCCCGGCCTCGGACTGGGGGATCGGGGGTGAGGGCTGGCAGAGGCCTCTCTCTCTCCTTCCCTACCTCTTTCTTCCCTTTCCTTCCCTCACAAGAGGGGTGCTTCCTTGCTCACCAAGCCTCTGTCCCCTTGGGAGCCAGGGGAACCGCAGGCTTCTCGTTTCCCGGCAGGCAGTGGCTCTGATTTCTGTTCCCACTGGGTCGGGCCTGCCCCGATCAGAACTGGAGAAAAAACGGATAGAGCTCTTCTCCTTTCTGTTCCCCTCCCTCCCAACCAACCTCCCAGCTCTCTTGGGAAAACTCATGGTTCCCTCGAGGGAGGTTCGGGAGGCAGCGTTGCTTGGGCCCTGTTTCTCTGTGCTTCGCCCAGTTGTTCCTTGTCCCTTGTTTTGACGGAGGAAAAAGCAAAGCAGGAATGCCCGTTCTGCCTTTGCTCAGGCAAGGCTGGTTTTCTCTGTTGCAATGCAAAAAAGGGAGTGAAATCCAACATGGTTATGACATCATGGCTTCAGTAAGGGGTCCTGGAGTGATCGGCTTAGATTGGACAGTCACTGGCCACATGCACCGTTTAGATTGGTGCATGATGTGAATAGAAAGTGAGCTGAGAGGGCAGGAAAAAATGTGTACTCCAAAATGCATGCGGTACGCGAGGAGGGTTAGAAAGATGCCAATGTGATTCTCATGAAAAATAGGCTGTCTTAAACAGCAAGACATTAATGTTTTTTGTTTGGTTGTTTTTTTTTCCCCTCAAGAAAGTAGATACTGTGATGGGTTCTGTTAAAAAGCTCATTAGTGTGCATTCTGGAGGTCTTCTCTGAAGAACTTTCTCAAGGGAGTCATCTGCTCAGCTGTGTCACAGTGAGAGAAGGTTGAATGCTGTGTAATTCAATAATTAGAACATTTCACATAGTTGTCTGTAACAGTTGCAAGCAGTTGCAATGTTTAGAGTCTGTCTCTTAAAACCTGGACGCTTTCAAGCAGAATTGAGAACAGCTGGACAAAAAAGTTCATTTAAATGCTTTCCTGTTACCTTTTGTAATCATTGATATATATACACAGTGGATTTCTGGGAGTAATATTGGTAAATAGGATACTATAGTTCTGAAGTACATCACAGTAGCTGGTTACCCTGCATGAAAATACAAATGATGCATTCAATCTGTTGAAAGGCCGCAGGAGCTCAGGTGTGTCCACCAAAATGTGTATCTCTGGGAATTATAGATGAGGTTCAGTTCTTACTGTTGTCAGTTTCTAAGTAGTGTACACTGTAATGCTAAAGAAGCAAAAACATTGCCTGGTAGCTAAAATGAACTCTCTAAGGTAAACCACTTTTAGATGCATTATCTGTATCCCGTATTTGTCCACTGCAATAACCTGGAGCTGTAGCAAGATCAGGGTGAAAGAGGGCAGCGTCTTCATGCATTACTCATTTCATAAAATGTGAGTGAGGAATCATAGAAGTAGTCTCTTAGTATGTCACAATAGTCTTATCCTCTCCCTGTCAGGAGTGAGTACAGCCCTTTTTAAAGATGAACATTTCATACCCAGCATGAGGGGAGCAGCTGCCAGCCTTTGAGAACCAGAGAGAGGCTTTGTGTGATTTGTTTGTTCTCTGCTTCTGTCCTGTATGTCTTGTGCCTGTTTGTTCCCGTTTACTATTAGTTGAGTTTAAAGAGGAGAGTTGGGAAGCCCAATTTCATGTGGATGTGAGGAACCTACTTTTTCTCTCTGGTTAGCAGTGAATCATCTAAAAAAATCAGATCGTGGATGTTTGACTTTGTGTGTGTGTGAGAAGGGTGCCAAGAAGGGTGCACCTATTGGGTGGGAGGGAGGAGCACAGCTGTAGTCTCCACTGGACTGGTCTGTATATTAAATCATGGTCTTGTAGCTCTGGGCATTAAGCACTTATGTAATAAACTGGTGGACTCCGTGAACTTTGGGCAGCTCATCACATAGGCTTTCCAGCAGGAAAAGTGCAATCTTGAGCTGAATTGAGGGCAGATTGTATTTTTAAGTGGTTGTGTATTTTTGACTGCGTTTCCTCTTCCTTGCCCAGTTTGACAGCTCTTCCTGTGGGAAAGTGGCATTACTACTCCTTTCCTCTTGGTAGTCTGTCCTAATGCTGTGCAGTCTGCCCTTGAAGATGCACTAATTAATGACACAGAGGCTTCAGCCTTAAGCTGAGAAATGGACTTCTAGGTTTTTATACTACAAAATCAAAGTTTATTTTCTTTAACTTAATCTGGGATTTTAAGGTGGAGGCCATACAAGTAAATGTTTTGAGACTGCTGAGGAAGATCACCATCCTGGAAGGGAGCACATTACTGTCAGGAATTCCTACATGCAGTTACAAAACTTAAAAAAATAAACTACTTCTATAAATGAAAAATCTTATTCAAGATCTGGTTTACTTGAACTTCAAATTCTACAATACTCAACAGTGTAAATCTGGTTTTACGTTATGGATAAAACAGTGACTTGTTTTACTTGAGTATGTTCATTAAGATGGTTTAAAGTGAAAGATTGATGTGAAGTAAGGGCGTGTGACTGCAAATAAATATTTCTTGGTTTTTTTTTTTCCTGATGCAGCTTCCTGTTTTCTGTCACTGACAGTGCATGGCGGCTTATCCTAACTCTGTCCTGAAGTGAGGTGGGAAATCTGCCCAATAATCCAACATCAGTAAGATAGACAAGGTAATGCTAAATGTATGTGTTTGGGAAGGGGGTCAAAGGATGCTATTTTATTTTTTTAATGCTTTTAATTAAAAAAACAAAACAAAACAAAAAACTACAAACAACTTACGCAAAAACACATGCTTTTACAACAAACTTAAATGAAGTGTTAATTAGACTGAGTTTATGCACCTACAGTCAAGACTCCTGTGTTGCAGAACATGAATAATGAGCCAGTGAACATTAATGATATTATATCATAATATCTCAGCAGCAGCCTGGCTCTGTTAATTGCAGGTCCTTTTTCTTTGCAGTTAGACTGTATTCATCTACCTCCTTTTATGTCTGATTAGGAGAATGAGTTTTGTTCAGTAGATGCTTGTAGGTTTTTTTGGACATCATTGAGCTAACCAAAGGGATTTGCATGAAATGTTTGCTTTATATTAAGTTAATTTAAAAAAAAAAAAAAAAAACCCAAACAAAAGCCAGCAGAAATTGAATTGCACTCTAGAGATAGCATCGTGCTGCATCTTTTTAATGCAGAACAATGCCTTTCAAACAGTAGGGTTAAATGTATTTAAGTGCATCAAGGTATGATGTATTAAAGGCTTTAGCTTAGTGTCTTGTTTCTCTGGTTGGAGACAAGTAATGTTCAATGTAGTACTTTAAAAATAGACTGACCAAGGCAAAATTTGGTTTTTTCATAAAACACTGTGTTATAGCATCCTTACAGGTGAGGGAGAAATATCTGCATGTCTCTACCAAGAGTTCTTTTTGCACAAGAGAACGAACAGCATAGTTGCCTGCATGTGGCTTTGGAAATGTCAATTTTGATGTTCAGAGCTTCCTACTTTTATGATCTCCAGTACTTGTACTTCAGATCTTACGATAACTGCTGCTTTAATTGCTCATCATTCCAGATCTACTGTTTTGGTCCTGTCCAAAACAGTGAAGAAAGAAGGGATATTTGACTAGCTATCTAGATCTTCTGTTTTTTTCTTTATTTGTTCATTCAGTAACTTCTCTGTAGTTTCTGTTTTACTTTTAAACATAAGGCCTTTGTGTATTTTTTTTTGTTGTTTAACAAGAGAGGTGCCTTATACAAAGTGGTAATTTTTAAATTGTCTTCTAAAGTGTTAAATATGTAACTGTGTAGTATATGCTGTGAACTGCTTTGACACAGGCTGGGGTTGTTTCACTTCCTTTTAAGTTGGAGCAGTTGTCCACCTCTCTTAAAGCACTGAGGGTAACTGACTGTCCTGACCACGTATACTGCTAACAAATCTGTGGCTCTAAGCCTAATGAGTAGCTAAGTGTGGTCTACTGAGCAGCTTTAAAAAATCTAAAATCTTGGTTAAAACATCTCAGTCAAAATTTCAAAAAAGGAAAGTTATTGTATCTTACTTTCTGGAGTTAAACTCTCAATGTGTTCTGATCATTCATATAATATCTGTTCAGCTCTTCATTTATTTGTCCATTTGTTTATGAAATAATGCGTGATTCAACTTGATGCCCTTAATAAAACCACCTTACCACCTATAATCTTTCAAAGATATTTTGTTCTGGCAGTCTTTTCTTGAATGGGAGGTTGGAGGGGAGAAGTCCTTTGCTGGTTATCATAATTATGGGGGATGTAAACATTATCTAATAAGGTGATAATGTAACCAATATGATGTCGTAAGGCTGAGAGCATTTGCTACAATTTCACTTTCACTGAGAGGGATGTATACATGTATCTCAAAAGCAAATCTAAGGAATATTAGTTCTTTTGTAGCTTTTCTTCCATGACACTTTACGGTTTATATCTTAAAATAAAAAGTTTGAAATTTCTGACTTGCACATAGTTAAAAGCTGTCTGACGCTTTAAAAATCTTTACTTTTAAATTCGGAGCACTGTAAAGTGTGGTGACTGTTGAGTTGAAGTGTCTGGTCTTACAGAGTTCTTCTTTGCCCGCGAGCTCAGTTAGTGTATTGTAACTTCATTGTTTGAGAAATCAGTGCATCATAGATGGTGTCTGAGAAAGGAAGCTCTCCAGAGAGCCCAACAGTAATGCTTTCCAAAAAGCATTCAGAAATGCTTTTTAAAAGAAAGCTTCAGAACTGTCATCAGATGCATCTAAATAACAGTTTAGTTTTCTACAATGTTTTTAATGTTTTGTTGTTAACAGGTCTGCAGGAGATAAGCAATCCACCATGAATGGGCAGCTGGATTTAAGTGGGAAGCTGATCATCAAAGCTCAGCTTGGGGAAGATATTAGGAGAATTCCTATTCATAATGAAGATATCACCTATGATGAACTGGTGCTAATGATGCAAAGAGTTTTTAGAGGAAAACTTCTGAGCAATGATGAAGTCACAATAAAATATAAAGATGAAGGTAAGGTTTACATACTACTATTGCTCTGATACTATTTATCTAAGGACAACGCAACCTGTGAAATTCACCTCTTCAATATTCTTCAAATTTGTTTGCAAATGCAAGTGATTTCCTGTGAAATCCTTTGAATCTGACAATAGACACTGTATCTCTTGTCATTATCCTGTATAACATAGTATTTCCTCCAGTTTTCCTAGAAATACTAGCTGTCTGAAAGTTCTTTTTTCTGGCTGTTGCAGGAAGCTCATGCTATTGCGAGTTTCTCTGCTGTCCACCATTTAACTTGACTTAAGGCAAGCTCTTAGAAGACTTGATTTAGGTAGTAGTAATTCTTGTAACGAAGAATTTTGGTGGAGTTTTCCTCTGTCATTAAAGATGAGAACTTGACTTAACCTGAAATATTTATTAGAAGTAATCTTTCTTCTATGTGACGATTTGAATGCGTTTGGCATTGGTTGTAGATAGTTTGTTTCAAAGAAAATCTTAGTCATTAGTGCAAAACAAACGCAACCTTAAGAAAGAATGGCTTCCACAGAATGAATGTGGCCTTGTTCGAGATGTGTACGAAGAGACTTGTGGTTCTGAGGGTTTTTCATTGCGTGTCAATGTGGGACATGGATAAGTTACTTAATTTGGGAGAGAAGGATGGTATTCATAAAACGAAACTGAGAATGAACTGATAAAATCCAAAGTTTCTTATTCAGATTGAAGACTGTGTGATAATTATGCTGGTGTACAGTAGAAGAGCTACATTACTGAAGCATTCAGTTTCATTTTTCTTAATAGCACTAGGAAGCTTTAGCACTGTCTCTGGTACCTAAAATGTCAAATAACTTGTTCCTACATCTAGGCAATAAAATTGCACTTTGAATTACCCTGAGACAGTTTTTTCAGGTTCATGAAGCTTTTGAGCTCATCAAAATTGATAGGCAATGAGGGACTAATATTTTGGGTCTTGATCTCTAGTGGGAAAGCTCAATGGACTTGTGATGGTTTTGTTTTTCCTCTTATCACATAAACAATTTTGGTTTTCTTTCTGGAATGGGAAAGGGGATTGATGGATGCTTCTTCATTAGGTTAAAGTGTCTAGTCCCTTTTCTGTGTTCACCTGTTCTTTAAGTATAGTTCTCTGGTTTTGTGTGCCTCTGTCTTTTTGAAGAAGATAATGGTATGGGATGGAGACTAATTATGGATTCATTTTGTATTTCACAGCCTAGAGGCCTAATTTATCTTTTTCTGTCTCAGAATGTACTTCTCCACTGTAACATGACATTTCTGTATACGTTATCCTAAATGATGAACACTACTAAGAAGACTTGAACAGTGTTAATATCAGAGGAAACTGCAAATGATTAAGGAACAAGTTAGTAGAACTAGGCTTCAGTTTGGTTGTCATATGAATACTGTGGTATTCTTTGTTTCAACTAAGAGAATGTTCTTAAAATCTGTTTCAGTCATTAGAAGTATTAGAATATATATGTTTTACCTATTTCCATTTTGTTATTTATCCATCCAAACATGGAGGAATTCTTGTCTTCATCTTTTATGAAGTTCATCTAAGGATTTCTACTACTTCTGCAACTCTCAGAATTCATGTGCTTTTTGAGCATTGAGAAGAGTGCGTTATCTACCCCTTCTGGTTCTGTTTCTTGTTGCTGTAACATGTGAAGCTAGTGATCTTCAGGCCTGGATATGGGGTTTTCTATTATAAATTTCTCCAAAATATTTGGGCTTCATCAAACTGTCATGATCCTTGAAGTGAATACAATTTTTTAAATTTTTTTCCCCCCCAAAATTCTATGCTTATTTGGAGAGGCTAGCAAACTTTTAATCCCAAGCTTTCTGTCTGGATTTGTGGACTAAGATAGTCGGAAGCATATTCTTTAGTTACATGATACTTTTATTAAGCATCAGGCAAAAAAAAGTTTCAGTTGGTAACTGCCTTGTGGGGTAGGTTTTATAGTCAAGATGGGCATCTTTCAAACTTCTTAATTATGGAGATGTCTCTACTAGGTGTGAAATTATTTTCATGTCCTGCTTAAGGTTCTTGAATATGCATTAATAACAAATGTCTGAAAAAAAAATACAAACCCAAAACCAATGAGGACTGCCAATGGTGAATTTATGTGAATTGAAGAGTAGAAATGTATCTTAAGCACACCAACTTACTGAGTTACACCATATGCTAAAGTTCCTAAGGAGCCAATAATAGAAAAGTTACTGTATTTTTTTTTAAGTTAGGCTTAAATTAAAACTAGAGTGCCTAAATGTGAGAATGCCTTTTCATTCTTGTTCTTCATTACCTTGCAGTATAAGTTGGTGTCTTTTGTCAGAGCCAATAATGAGCTATTAACTCATAGGGTGTGTAGTCAATTTGGTGTGCTAGTCAGTAGTGTATCTACCTTTAGGTTTAAGAAGGGGTACATTTACTGAAGGAAAACTACATTTTTGCGTGGCAGGCTTGGTTTTTGTTTTCTCCAAAACTGAATAGGGTGAAAAAAGAAAAGGTAAATATAAGGCTAGATAGAGCTGGTAGATAAGGAAACATAGCTGATGGGACCAAGGATGATGAGGCAGATTTCCAATGTCTTAAACATTTCCAATTTCTTCAAACTTCTTATGCCATCAAAATTGGATGGTATCATGATGATGCAGAATTAATGCTAAAATGCTTTCCAGTCCATTGGTAATTTAAGGGGGTCATTAGCCTGTACTAAATCAAATATTTATAACTGGCATACAGGGGAGTATTTAGGGTTACATAGGACTTGAAAGCTATGCCCCTTGTCAAACCATAAAGATAAGCTCTTGAAATAACAAAATTGGAGAAAATAAAGTCTGTTTTACTCTTCAATAGAAAATATTTAACACACTATATTCTTCTCTATATAATGATTACAGGAATTAAGCTTCATTGACATTCCTTAAAATGAAAAGTTTGTTTGATAAATCTAATATACTTAAATTTTTTGACTTTTTGTATGGCTTGACATATACATATACCTTGTGAATTCTAGCATATACGCTACTGGGTAGTAACTTGGCTGGCTGTTGATATGAATCGTAGAACTGACTTTATGCTTCTAACAAGATTCTGTACTTGGTGTGTTTTCTGCTAGCAATTTAAAAGCAAATCTTTAATCATTTTTTGTAACTGCCTCAACATAAATGTTAAAATAGGTGAAGGAGAATAAGATGAAATGATCTGGATTCTTTTGTTTGACATTAATCCATGTAAACTGTGTGTATTGTAAATTTTCATTTGGCTATGCAGGATAAACTGTTCAAAACATGCGCCTTTATTCAGGCAGTGAATATGACAGATATGACAGAAAAGCACCGTAAGATGGTCTGTCAGTGTTGTGCACTGGTAAGACAAGTAATAATTTGTCAGGTAAGCAGGAGAATAGGGAGTAGAAGGGCTTTGTGTTAGGCACTAGTGGATTTTTGGTATCAGCATTTAAGAAAGGATACTTGAAAAGCTGGTGGAAAGTAAAAAAGCCACACTTTATTGCCACAGAGAAGGGACTGTTTAACTTTATGAAACTTATTTGTTTAGTGTCTGATTCTATAAGCCTTGTTATGGATCATAGTAGCAAACAGGGACACCTTTACTGCACACCCACCCACCCTCCACCTCCCCTGGCACTGGTGAGGCCCCACTGGGAACCCCATGCTCATTTTTGCCCTCTGGACCCCAGGCTAAAAAGGCTCAGAGAAACTGGAGAGGGTCCAGCAGGATGTGGTGAGGATGGTGAGGGGCCCAGGGCAGGTGGTCTACCGGGAACATTTGAGGGAGATGGGCTTGTTCAGCGTGTTGCAGAGGAGGCTGAGGGCAGAGCTTAATAGCAGCTTCCAGCAAACTGAGTGGGAATTGCAAAGACCATTGAATCCCAACTCTTCTCAGTAGCACCAGATGGCAGCAGTCATGAACTGCAGTTTGAGAGCTTGAGCATGAGTTTTGGCCAGGAGGGCAGTGTGTCATTGGAGCAGGTTGCTTGGTGGGGTTTTGGAGCCTCCATCCTTGGAGACTTTCCAGTCTCTACTCTGTGAATCCGTGACTGATACTGATGTCAACCAATCTGCTTGGAGATTGTGGAAGTGCAAACAGGACATAGGATACAAAAAAATCTTTGGAGACAGCAATATTTCCTTCAGGAATACTTGAAAATAATTTCATATGTTATCAGTTTGTTAGTAAGATTCCTAGCTTATTTTGTTAGGAAGCAACTTCTTTGAAGACAGATGAGCATTGTTAGGTGGTTTTAATAGTACAATACTAAGAAAGGCTTCCATTGCAGAGATGTTACCTGTAGTCAGAGTATGACAAAATCAGATTATGTAGCTCTTCAAATTTTGAGGCTCTTTTTTTTTCAACTTGCCATTGTGTGTTTTATGACTATTCATACTGAAGCATTAGTATTTATTTGAAATTTTTAACCATAACATTGTAGGGCTGGATCTTAATGTCACCAATGCATAAGGAATACCTCGGAATTTTTAGGCAGCAATCTGTAATTGAAAACATGTTTCTGTGTCCATCCATAAAGCCTCCTTGTAACAGTGTTCTAGGGAGGAACTTTGGGTAGACTGGAGTCAGCTTTTTTCCAAGCTGTGTGTCGTTTGTCCAACATTGTTGCTTTTGAAAGTGAAGCTTCACTAGAGTGTCTCATCTCAATTCCTCATCATCAAGGGGTTCTGGAAGGAAGTTGTCCTGCTATCCCTCCCCTTCTCCTCTGCTAGCACATGTTTTCCTGATAATGCGTTCCCACTCTTTCCTTTCCTTTTCACTGCTTAATTTGGCTTCATTTAATCTATTAATATATTAATAATCTGTTGAATAGTTAAAACAGCAGAAAATCCATCCTGCCAAAGAGAATAGTCTTGTTTCACCTGTGATCTTGTTGAGCAAGCAAGATATTACATGGTTGTCTATTGTCTTGACCCCAGGTTAAAAATTGTGAGAGACCAGACTTAATGGGAGCTCGGTGTCTCTCTTGGGTATTGATAGGCTTAAAGGTGTTCAGTGGTTTATGCATAGCAGTTTGTGTCTTAAGAATGAAGGATCCCACACAGGTCTTACCTAGCTTCTGTGTCTGATGGCAGTGTGCGGATTCATTAGGATGCGTCGGGATGGGAGTTCCTCTGAGATCTGCCAGACAAAAATAAATGGCTAAGAGATGAGACTCCATGTCAAATTCCTGGTTTGAGAGAAAAGTTTTGTTCTGACAACTGTGACATCTTTATATCTTCATTCCTATTTGTGGGTTAAGGCTGATAGATATTTTTACCGTTCACTTTTGCACAGGAACTTTGTTATCATTCACTTGTTGAAAAATCAGTCTTGTACCTCAGTGTTCCAAGTATAACCTGAGAAGACATTCTAGTCACTTAAAATTTTCCCTTTTTCGTATGAATGGTTTGGGTTCTAAAAATTAAATTGGGGTTGGCTTGTGCTGTCTATTGTGACTCTCCTGTCTGTTCATGAACAGTACGGTTTTGGAGCCACTTGAAGTGGGCATATAACTTAACTGGCAGCATAATTCCTTCTGGTGTTGGCCTTTATGAACTCTTAGCTCTAATGTTTCATCCTGTCTGCAAATACAAAGGAATGATGAGCTATATGGAACTTTAAAAGGGCTAATGTCAGAAGGCTCCCTTTTGGAACCAGTTGCTTGTCTGTCACACCTCCTGTGCATAATTTCCCTGCACAGGGACTCATGCCAAAATAAGTATTTTTGTGTTGTGTTCCTTTGTTGTGGTATGATTTTAAAAAACAACCTGTTTTTGAGAACTTCATTTTTCTTGAGAAGTATTCCTAATGCTAGAAATAATTCTTCCTACCCAAGTTATTTTAGATGCTTTTTAAGTCAGCAGGTATGTCTTTGATTGTAGATCAGGGAAACAAGGATATAAGCTTTACTCAGTAATGACAGAAAAAAACATCTATTTACTAATTCTACATCTTCAGTTTTCTCATCCTCCGTATACTGAGGTATGGTACCCTTAACAGTTCTGCCCTAGCATAAAGTTCAGTAGTTAATAGGCTTTGATTTTAATCTAACTTTTCCGTGTTTTTTGCAGATGGAGATCTCATAACAATTTTTGATAGCTCAGATCTTTCCTTTGCAATTCAATGCAGTAGGATACTTAAGCTGACATTGTTTGGTAAGTATAGAAGATTGTCTTTATCTTTTTTAATTTTTTTAATAATGTTTATTCAGGCAGTGGGCTTCACTGGAAGGTACTAAAAACTTTATTGGCCACCTCAGAAGAATAAAATCAGTAAGTTGAAAATACTGAATTAATATGTGATATTTGTTTTCTCTCTTGATGTTTCATGTGATGTCTGAACTTGTGGAAACAGACTATTTCTTGTTATAAGATTGTTTAAACTATGTGGCATACACACACATACATGTATTCAACTGTTCTCTAAATGTTGTTTTCCTTGTTATCTTCCACTCTTGAGTGTTTTTGGTGTGTTATTCACAGGATGCGGGAGAAATTTATGATGATGATAAACTTGCAGTGTTACTAGTACACTGCTAAAAAATAACATTAATTGCTTAGAGTTGAAGAGATTTTTAACATTCATCTTTCAGCCTTTGTATAAAATAGCTCTTTATTTTCAATCTACTATTGGTAGATTAGCACATAGTAGCAAGCAACCTTAAACCTGAACACTGACCTTACTCATGAATTGCAGCAGTGTTGTGTATGCTGCCTTAATTCTAAAGGTAGTTTCTAAAGGGAGAGCTTTCCACAACCAAGTATGATATTTTTACTGTTCAGGGTATATTCATGGAAATGAGTAAATAGCACAAAACTTTATGGCAGGCTTTGCTCTGCGGTTTTAGTACTGTGGGTTAATCTGAACTGAGATTGTATTAAAGGAACAATAGGTTCTGGAATGAGTTCAGTTTGTGTTGTCTAAACTGTGTCACTCCAAACTCCAGAGGATGATGATGCTACATGCAAGTAAAAGTTTAATTTTAAACTGAATGTCAAGATGTTACTACGGTCTTAAATTTATGTAATTGCTGTTTTGCAGTGAATGGACAACCAAGACCCCTAGAATCTAATCAGGTGAAATACCTGCGTCGAGAGCTGATAGAACTTCGCAATAAAGTCAATCGTTTACTGGACTGTTTAGAACCACCAGCTGAACCAGGGCTTTCCACTAATCTGCCTGAAAGTGGTAGGCAGCCTGGCAAAGAATGGTTTGGTGTGATGTGCAGAGTTGTATGCGTTTTAACAAAGTGAAAAATGGAGGTTTGAATACTGGTTGTGATCGTTCTTAATTGTTGCTTGATGGTTCAGAACTTAGTTCTTAATGCTTCTGTTATTTCAGAGGCAAAATTTTTATTCAAATTATCTGGAGCAAAGCACTAAGTTAACTTAGAAATAAAACTTCAAAGTCTGAGGTTCTGTTACAAGGTATGAAAACTCTAGAACTAACACTTGTGAGTCGCAACAATGTTTTGAGAGGGCTTTGAGCTGAATTAATAGCTTGTTGTTGCTGAAGAGTTCTTGTTCCCATCTGAGCACTCCCACTGCTTACTTTGGGCTAGCTCTGGTGCTTATTTTGTCATGTCGCTAAGCAAGTTTGATTCACTAAAACAGTAAAAAGCAAATTCAGCAAAAATCATATCGACTTTTTTGCCAGGTTAAGAAATTGAATCCATACATTTTGAGCTCAGACCAGCATCAGAGCTGTCTCAGGGTAAGCAGCACAAGGGTGCAGGTTGGAGTGGGAAAGGATTATGGGGGGAGGGCAAAAGGGGGAAGGAAGTCTTATTCTCCCAGTTTTCAGGCATTGATCTCCTAGTTTAGATCTGTAAAGAAAAAATAAAAATAGTCTGTACAAACTATTCCTCTGTGTGCTTAGCTACAGATTTTGGGTAAGCTGGACACAGAAAATGGTGACACGAAGTCATGGAGTTACAGTGTTCTGAGTAAAGAGGTGAACTGAGAACTCCAGCCTCTCTTTTAGGAAACACTACATTGTGTTTTAAACAAAGTTTTATTGGTTTTGTTTAAAAAAAAAAAAAAATCCAGCCCCAGTTCCTACAATATAAAGAGTTACTAATTCCAGTGGACTATTGTGGATTCTGGTTATAAACCATTTGGAAGGAGGTTAGGGTGGTGATCTTAGAGTGTAAACAGAACTAGCTAGTCAAACCTTTAGCTTGTTTGTTTCTAAGAGGAAATGCAGCACTCTGCTCAGTAGGGGGTTTATGAGTGATTCAGTGTTAGTTGTATAATTGCAAAGAGATAAACTTCACCTATAAACTTAGAAAGAATTCAGGGAGAAGGGGATAGAATGAAACAAAACCTGCAGTTGATGAAACACTATAGTAAACTGGAACCTGCCCTGTAAGCTTTCCTAATTTTGAATTCTCTGTTGGCAAGTCATACCAGAACAATTTGTTGAAGCAGGAGCCTTGTACCTTTGGATTTTAGACAAAGTGATACATGATGCTGATAATCCACAGTGGCACTGTATTTATAAGTAATTGTGCAATGAAACCTAAGCTTTGTGATTCATCACAGTTTCAGATACATCACTGATTCATCACTGCTATCCTAACATCAGCATTTCAACAGTTAAAACATTTAAAAAAACCCCACAGCTATGCAATTTTAAACTTGCTATAGTATGATATATATTTATGATGGTGTTTCAGTTCTCAAAAATTAATAACTGGGCATTTTGTTTTGTAGATGCTGTAGATGGTAGGGAAGAAAAACCTGCTGCTGCTGACTCTAATGTTAAGCCATCTACTCAAGTTACAGCAGCAACCATGTCTGCATTTGATCCGCTAAAGAACCAGGATGAAATCAGCAAGAATGTCATGTCAGCGTTTGGCTTGACAGATGATCAGGTGTCAGGTAAGAATACATGTTATGAAAATGAAAACAGAACCTGCTCTCTTTGGGTGCTAGCTAGAATATTTGCAGAATTATCAAAGCAGACAATTGCTTTTAGACTGAAGCCTGCCATATCCTGTCCGGGTATGCAAATTTTATGCACTCCTTTTTTTGTCACATGCTGTGGTTTTCTGTCACATGCTGTGACTGCACTTTGTTGCCTGGGCCCATGTAGGCCACAGTAAAACACAAGTGCATTCGAACAGTTTCATACAGCCTTGCACCTTTGCTCTAGGTGAGGAAGAACAGGTGCGTAGCTGTGTACTCTGTCCAAACATAGCAAGTCTTCAGTGTACATGTGCAAGGTTAACGCTTGAAGCTGTGGAAAAGCCATGTTGTCGCACAGGTTTTTATCCCACAAATGAGTCAGGTTCTTTGAAAGGATGAAATTTGAGTTATTTAGAGACAGGTGGAAAATTCCCCCCCCAATATTTTCGAAGGAAAGCTTAGATGTGCAAATATATTTAGCTTTAGCATGACACTCTCAGATGTAAATCTGTGGAGAATTGGAAAAAACGTTAAAAACTGTGCAAGGGAATGGTTTTGTATTAGGCTTTTAAAATTCAAACTCTGTTCATTTTGCATACTATTATTTTGTTCTTGCTCGTCTAGGACCACCCAGTGCCCCTGCAGAAGAGCGATCGGGAACACCAGACAGCATCGCTTCCTCCTCTTCTGCAGCCCATCCCCCTGGTGTTCAGGCACAGCAGCCACCCTACCCTGGAGCACAGCCACAGACTGGTCAGGTGGAAGGTAAGCAGCAGGTTTTTCCTACTACTTAAGACATCGATAAGTGTGTCTGAGTGATCAGTAGCTAAGACTTCCAATTAGCCGGCCCAAAGTTGATGCCAAACTGCAAATTCATCTGTGCCACGAGGCAGAAAAGCTTTTTTCCTCACATGCTGTTCAGTACAGAAACGGTAGGTGGAGCAGTAGCTTTATTTATAAGAGTAGGTGATACAACAGGAGGAGGATTTTCACAGTACTGTTTTCTACTTCTATTCTGTGCTCGTTTTGCTGTAAGGTAGATTTTTATATGCTGCAGTTTAAAGCTCTCTGAAAACGTTAGTTCATATCATACCCTGTGTGTTGTGTCAAGCTTTCACTCAGCTAACAGCTCTTTTGCTTGTCTACTATGTATTAAAAATGTTTACTCATTTCTATCTAACAAAACGGAGCCATTACTGCATTGCTTCTTTACTACATATAGCTCTCTGCTCATCAGGTGAAACCTCAGAACTATCTCATGCTTTGTAGTTTTCCTGTGTAGCCCTTGAGAGCCTCACTTGGGTCTCCGTTAAAGCTTAAGGTCTGAACTCTGATATTCAGATTCCTTTGTACTATGTCCTTTTACGTTTATTTTTAGAAATCAAGTAACATGTATTCAGAGGTTTGCTACATTTGGGCATCATTTTCCTGTTGATATTTTTCTAAGAGCACTGAGGCTTTGGACCTGCATAGTTCTGGATGAAACTCTGTGTAATGACTTACTTTGGTATCTCTGCCTCCTTACAAAGTACAATATAAAGTTGTCTTTCTGTTAGTGAGAAACAATTTACAACCCTCTGCTGCTTTCTATAGTGACATAACGCTGAGGTAAATGTCAGAGGCATCACTGAAGGGTGATGACAGTATCCACTGTCACTTGGAATATCTTGCCTGAAGGGCATCAGTAACATTTTGATTGAGGAACTTGTAGTTAGGCGTAATATTGAAGTAGGCATGAAGGCTGTTGGTTGCAGTGAAGCTTGCAGTAAAACGCTTGTTTTGCTGCTTTCAGCTTTTTTTTTTTGTTCACTTCCTAAAGAATTAGTCAAATGATATAAATGGAACAGCAAGAGATAATTTTGTAGCTTAAAGATATAACTGTTTGGCGTTTATGTGTAGAACGAATTTTGGAAAAAATTGCTTCAGGTTTTTCTCTCAGCAGCTAGGAAGCTTAATATTAAAAAAAATACACTCTCGCCTACTGAACTTATATTTTATTAATTTGGCCTTTTTACTCTAATACAATAAGGCATGAGATTTTAAGTGTTGATGTAAACTAGAACTGAAACAAAAAAGTGAAACACTTAAAAGCACTAGCAGCAGTTGGTTGGAATCCTGAATGGCTGCTCATAGCAGGGGTGGTAAAAAGTACTTGTTTCAGCAAAACTCATTTTACGTGAGCCTAGACAGCTTCTCTCCCGAGTATCAGAGTAGATATAATGATTTTTCTAAACTTGGGTCACGGAAAGTGTAGCGGGGTTTTTTGGTGTTGGAGTTGTTTTTTTGTTTTTTTTTTTTTTAAACACTGAACTGTACTGTACCTTTCCCCAAGTCCTTTTTTTGCATATAAAAATACAACAGCACTAATTATGAAGGCTTTGGTCTGTAGTTTATGCAGTTTTTATTGTTACCACTGAAATTTGTTAAGTATTGATTATATTTTTTACACTCTATGGATAAAATAGGATGAGTCAGTTCTTGGGAGGAGGTCAGAATTCATTATTGCACTTTGTTCATCAGAAATACTAGTGGGAGTGCTTGTGGTGTCCCTGTCTGCACATGGTAAAGGCAATCTCTTACCAAACCTGGGTAATAGATGTCTGATTACCAGCTCCTGAATTGTTCTCATAAGCTAATTTGCTTTTATCCAAAGCGTTCAGGACTTTCCTTTGAAATACGGAGTAGCTTTCCATATGTCATTGTTTGGTAGCACTCAGTTCAGTGGTAATTTGGGGACCTATGCTGTCCCGTCCTGCTCTCCGTTCCTGCACTTGTGCAGCTGAGTTGAGAACCTGTGCAGGGCCCTGGCCCAGCCAGAACTTTGGATACGTGTTGATGGTTAGGTTTTCAACAGCATTCGCTCACACAAATGGCCCTGTTGGTACAGAGCATGTCCTTGTTACAAAGTAGTTTTAAAACTAGTTTTGAAATATTAGTTCAATTCTTAAAAAAGCAAAACACCCCAAACTGTGCTTCCCCACCCCACTTCCCATGTATTTTGAGGATATAAGTCAAATGGTGATGCCAATTGTGTGTCAATCATTCATATCAGGGATTATTATTTAATGGCATTCTTTGCCAATAAATGATGCTATGATGTTTATAATTGGTTATTAGTTATCATTATTTGTGAATACCAAGTAATCTTTCCTCTACGTGCAGATACTAAGGAGTGACTTGCCTCCTTGATAAAGTTTTAAGCATTCACTGGTTTGAATTACATCAATACAACAAAAAAAGTTCCAGTATAGTGCTGTCTCCTGTGGCGTGCCTGTGCTTTGTACCCCGAAATCCAGTCGCTTGAATACACACAGGAACCAGTTTTGTACGGATGTGGACACTTTTTTAGTCTTTTCTAAAATAGATAAAAAAGTTCATTTTTGTAAGCACTTCATGATCTTCTCAAGAAGAGAATGTTGTGTGACTATATACCTTTTTTCTCTGATTCAAGCTAAAATGGCTGTTTCAGTGCACAGGAACAATGGTAAATGCTGGCAGATCCTTGACTGTAATAAGCACTAAGTACAAAACCAGACATAGATGCTGTAACTCTCTTGTTTTCAGAGTAAAATCCAATGAGGGGGAAAACTGTATGTGTAAGGACTCATAGGATCCTTGACTGCGTTCCTGGCTGTAAATGAAGAATGTTTTCATGAACAGCACTAGAGCACCTCTTTGTTCCTCACTAACACTTCAACCCTGGTGTAGACAGAAAGTCTTCTCTTAAGACAGCTTTGGAAAAACTCCATGCTGTTTCTTTCCTATCCCTTTGCCTGGGGTCTCCAGCAGGTGCCAGTGTGGTCTCTGCATTAGCCTGTAGGCAGCCTCCTGCTTGTTCTCCCAGAACTTCCCTGTAACAACGGGGTTTAAGAAACAAAAGCAAGCATTCTGAGTTTCTAATTTTTACTTACCAAGCTAACGGGCTTAAATTCTCTTCAAGCCTTGTGTTTGGCACTCATCATCCCCCAATAATTGCATACCAAATAATATTTTGAAAGACTGCACCGATATAAAATTTTTGAACACCTCAGTGTGAATGTAAAATACCGTTGCTTTCAGCTGCAAGTACCGCAGAGAAAAGCAGAAATAAGGAGTGGTGTTAAAGCAGAGTGTGCAGGGGTCTGGAAGGACTTGGAGCAGAGCCGAATAGCTTTTGTCTTGTACAATTCAGAAGATACACTGTATTTATACAGTCTGCTGATCTCTGCAGAATGAATAATAGTACAGTAACACTTTATAATAGTAAAGTTTCCATGTCTGCTCCAGTTCAGCTAAGCTTTAGTTTTGGCAGATAATTGTCTGGGTTCTTTGACTGTGCCTGTTATTAAATTGAAAAACAGCAGAAGCATAAAGTCTAAACAGGGCCATAGGTTAAGTATAAACAAATATTCAGCCTGTTCTTGCCAAGAAATTGGAAACAGCGAATTTAGGAAAAATTAGCATTGAATTAGAATACCCAAGCTTAAGAATGTATGGTTTTGGTTTTGCTTTGGGGTGTATATCCCTGGGTCTCTTTAACAAAACTTGGCTTACAGCAAGTCAGATACTAAGAGATGGATGACTTCTCTGGAAAATGTGGTCAGGATAAATAATGTACCACTCTGCTTACAGTACTCTAATACAGAAATGGTCTTAAAAACATAATATAAACAAACAGTCTGAAGACATGTTTAACTTTTGAAGTACTTGAATTTACAGTGTAAGCTCTGGAGCAGTTATCAAGACACTTAAATAAAATTCCTGCTCTGTTACCCACCAGAGTAGCACTAATTAAGGTGCGTGGCTTTAGCGTCTTCTGAAAATGTGAAATAGTAAGCCCCACATACCAAATCAGAACTATTTATTCCATTGGAGTTAAACATCATTTAGTCTTCTGAACAGCATGGTTCAGAAGCTAAAATCTGTAGATTGATTTCAGTTGGTAATTAGGTAGAATGTACTCAAAACTTGATTGTGTTCAGATTTTTTAGCAAAAGTTTTTACGTGTTGCGAGGGGGTTTGTTCCTGTGATTTTAAAAATGCTAAGATGTTATTGACTGTGTGTTTATGATACAGCCAAGGCGCTGGGCTTCAACTAAGTAAGTTTTTCATCCGTAGGTCAAATGTATCAACAGTACCAACAGCCCGGTTATCCTGCCCAGCAGCCACAGGCTCAGCCTCAGCAGCAGTACAGCATGCAGTACCCAGGTAAGCAGCTCTCACATGGTGGTTTAGCTGCAGAACCTCTCTGAACCCCTGCACTTCAGTTCCTGAACGTGCCTGTGGGGCAGGTCAGGGTGCCTGTGCTTCATCCCTGTGGTTCTGAAGGGAACTGGCACGATTCAAAAATTACCTGTAGCTGTTTATGTTTTTGATACATAGAGTTCTGGTATCTCAATCCTACTTGATTGTGACTAAAAGCAGACTTCGTTATTAATCAGCAGAATGCACTGTTAGAAAGGTAGGCAAAATGAATCACTTTGAAGTATGAGAAGTCTTCAGGATTAACTTGTGCAGCTTGGCATTCTGGCAAGTGAATGACTAAAACATCCCAATTTAGCTTCCTTAAGTATTGGAGGCCCCTATTTCTTGCATCTAAAATGATTTCCATATACAACATTTAGTGGTGTGAACACTGCTTATAGTTGTCATTTAGTAAATCCTTAGCTATTACAAATACCGTAATTTCAGAGAAACTTTCAAGTGATAATTTTTGTTTTTCAGTTGTTGATTTTGCTGCTACCTCAAGTAAAGGTGCCAGAAGACTTTTAGCTGAGGAACATCTTAGTGCATCAGTGGTTTATGTGTAGTCTAATACGAAAAGCTGGCTTTTGCATATACCCAAAATAAACTTGACTCAGAAATTTTGGTTATTTACTTTAAGAAGCAGCTGGCATCTAATAATGAATAGGGATTGTAATCCAGCTAAAGTACAGGGATGAACCTATAACAGCAGATTCCATAACAAATTGCAAGTTGTTGAATACTCTTAGAAAATGATACAAAGCATTTATCATTCCTTGTTTTAAACAATCTTCCTTAAACTTAAACAGAAGACTCCCATACCATTAAGTGACTCAGAATAGAGCCTGTATGGCCTCTTTTTTTGGTGTGCAATATATACAATGGGAGTGCATCAAATTTGATACAGATGAGAACACTTGCAGAGTTTATGAAGAAATTCTGTGTTTATCTTGGATAAGAACCCTAGAAAACTTGGAACGGAAGGTTTTGCCTCAGCTCTTGTTTCTGTGTGCTGTGCGAGAGCGGGTTGATTGGGGTCTCTAAATGGTGTCTTGTTCTCTGCAGATTTCTCACCCCCACATTTGTAATTAGAAGACAGTGACAGACTTTCTGAAGCGTAATTTCAGAAGAAGTAATGAGCCTGTTGGAAGTAGAAGGGTCTATCTGACTTTCTTTAGGCTTAAAAACTGAGGAGGGGGAGAGGGGGAAGGAGTTTCTATCTGCTTTCTACTTATATCCCACCATCATCTAATCCATTATTTTACTGGAGAAGTTCCTGTGAAGGCTGCAGTGCAGTGTGAGTTCTGCACTCTCATCAACGCCGTCTTCAAGTAAGAATGAAACGCCACCTAAACTGATCTGAGGCTCTGTTTCTCATTACTTATTTCACAATTAGCCCAATTTTTCAGAAAGTCTTTTTTTTTTTTTTTTTGAGGATCTCTTGGCAGCAGCTTTTAAGGATCTTGACTCATGGGACTTGTTGTTTGTTTGTTTTGCTGCTGTTCCCATGAGTATTGTCTCCTTTCAAACCCATGTCCCCCAAGAGCAGGATCCACTCCTGCTCTAGTAGGTCTCCCAGGCAACAGTTTGGTTACTTACTCATGGTAGTAAAAATGGACCCTTCGAAGGTTTGTTTCATGGGTAGATTTTGACGCTGGCTCCAAGGTGAGTTTCAGAATTTACTCCAGTGCATTCTTCAATCCTTACTCTTTCTGTTTAGGGCTGTGCACTTCTAATAATTTGTGTGTCTGGTGTTTAATGCTGACAGGATTCCAGTCACTGGAGAGGTTTCATTGCAAGTAGCTGCAGGTGTGTTTCACTGATGGATAAAAGCAGCTATATATTTCTTCATAAAAGAACTTTGTGTCATTTTAAAGTCTTCAAAAGAGCAGTTCCTTTTGGAAGCTGGTTTGATACAGGAAAAAAATCGAGTTTGGGATGTGTTTAAATGGCAGTTTTGTCCTGGAGTATTCTGTTCTGCGCAACTTTGTCATATTTAACCCTAAAGAACTGAAAACACCTATGATTTAACCAAAGGTATGACTTTATTTAAACCCCGATGCTACTTTCATGACGGTTTTGGTTTTAGTTTTTATTTGGGAAAAAGGTTGCAGTTTGCCTTTTTATTTTTCATGTGAAGGTAAAATACTATATGTATTTTTTATTTTTCTTTTAATTTCTAGTTAGGGGAAAGCTGTTTGATGCCCGAGGCCGGGCAGGGCTGAGATCCGCTGTTGTTCTTGGTGTGCCTGCTCTGTGCCCACAACCGAGGTGTTTCTGCAGGTGGCCTCGGTTCTTCCCCCCTCACCCCTCCTCTCTCTTTGCCTTTCCAGCCGGCTACAGCCAGCAGCAGCCCCCCTCGCAGCAAGCAGCCCAGCAGTTCCCGGCCTACAGCCAGCCGCCCGCACCGGCCCCCGCCGCCGCCGCCTTCCCCGGGCAGCCCCCGCAGCTGCCGGCCCAGCAGCAGCAGCCGCCGCAGTTCGCGGGGGGGAACTACCCGCCCCCGCAGCCCTACACCACTCAGGCCTCCCAGCCCGCTCCCTACAGCGGCGCCCCCGCCTCCCCCGCCGCCCCCGGCACCTTCCAGCCGCGGCCCGGCTTCAACCCGACCCCCGGCAGCACCATCACCCCCCCGCCCAGCGGGCCCAACCCCTACGCCCGCAACCGGCCGCCCTTCGGCCCCCAGGGCTACACCCAGCCCGGACCCGGCTACCGGTAAGGAGGTGTCCTGTCCGTCCCGACAGACTCCAGGATATTTTTTAATTGAGGTCCCGAAACGGTAATGAGGCAAAACTATAGCTGTTGATTAAATTCTGCTGGGGGGAGGGGAAGGACCGAAAGAATCTTTCCTGCTTTCAATTGTATCCGCTTCCTAGTTTAATTCGGGGCTGGGTTATTTTTTTGGGAAACACTACCTAAGTGTCCGCAAAGTGATTGGCGTTCTAGCTTGCCTTGTTTGGAGGACGTGAAGATGCTAGTTGGAAGTGTAGCCCACTTATCAGGCTTGTTTTTACTAATACGATGATGTACTAAATTAGGTTCATTCTGGAGGTAAAACTAGATATGATGTATCATAAATTGTAATGCTCACACAGAAAACTAATAAAAACCCTGAATCTATTGATTGCCTGATCTTGATTTCTAGCATCTAGGTAATACTGAACAAGAAAACTATGTTAAAACCAGTGTGTGTGCTGGTATACAGAGACCAAGGTAGCGATGAGCGGTGCTCGGGTTTGCAGGAGAGAAGACAGATTTTTAGGTGTGTAAATGGAGAAGTGTTGTGAACACAGATGGCTTTTGCAGAGGTTTATGCAGCAGGAGATGGTTTTTGCACTGTCTGCTGTTACTAATCGCCAAGTAATCCTCCTACCAACTGAGTAAGAACCAGTACATAAAATCTTAGAGCCCTTACCAATTAGACATTAACGAGGGCAGGGGGAAAATTGGTTTATTACCTGAAAATTTAAGCCAAATACGTATTTTTAAAAAAGAACTCTTTAAAAGGAACAACTTTCCACAGGTTCTTTACCACCCAGAAACTTGGGAGTGCGAGTGGCTCGATTTTGAGCCAAGAAAAAACAGATCAAGAGCTGTAACAAATTCAATAGAACATATAACAGCAGAGGGTAAAACATTTTCCCAGTTAATATTTTCCATCTTATGGATTCTAGGAATACATAAAAATAAGTAGGGAATAAATAAAAAAAAAGAACTGGAGCAAGCTGCTTGAACTCCCATAAAAACAAATCTGGAACTGAAGTCAGTGAAAACATTCCTGTCTTCAGCATCTTTAACTACCACTGCTCCCCTGTCAGCTGTGGCTGTGACCCCAGCTGTTTGGGCACTTGTCACATCTAATGCATCAGGTGGCCATCGCCCACCTGATGTGCCTGATTACAATCATAGAATCACAGAATGGTTTGGGTTGGAAGGGACCTCAAAGATCATCTAGTTCCAACCCCCCTGCCATGGGCAGGGACACCTCCCACGAGACCAGGTTGCTCAAGGCCACATCCAGCCTGGCCTTGAACACTTCCAGGGATGGGGCAGAACAACAGGTTCAGAACAAACAGCGTCCTGAAATAATAGCATTTGCCAAGAAACCAAGATCTGTTTTCAGGTAAAACACTTGAGAAAAACACTTGATTAAAAAATATTTTATTAGGAGTACAGTGTACCTGCAATGTACTTTATAAGGCATTTTCTATAAATGACTATTTCTACTATATATATATCTGGGTGTTCCTGTTCATATTTTTTCAATACATTAGTAATGTAATGAATAACACCTTTAAAAAAAACCTACATCTCTTTATTTAGTTCATAAATGTTCAAGCAGTACAACAAGTAGCTTTGGGAGAGGTTTTAATCAAAATTACTGTAAAGCAGTTCTAAAGTTCAGTTATTGCTACTTCCCCTCTGGCCCCAATGAACCATGTTTTAGGGATTTTTTTGATTTTTTAATTTAAATAAAATAAACCTGATTATGTTGTTATAACTAGCTTTATTTTTTTTCTGGTTTCATCTATCTTTTCCAAGTCTCCCTGCACTGTATGTACATTGGGCTTCTGAACCAGTAAGTCTCAGTCTCTGAAAACCACCTTTTTGTGACCAGCCGTGGTTCCCTTGTTTGGTGCCATGTGGGTATGTCTGGGTCTGCCTTCATGGGAGGAAACCAAACCCACCCCCAAACCACCGCCCGGCTCGGGGGCAGCGGCTCTAACCCCGCAGCAATGGGCTGAACAGACTCTTGTGCTGGAGGTGAAGCGTTTGAAAACAAACATGGAAAAAAACCAAACCAACCCCACTAAGCTGATTGTTTGAAGCTGCAGGTACAGCACCCTGCCTCGGCGTTTTGGCAGGAAGGATAAACTCTTCATACACGTAAGGAGAATGCGCTTCAAGTTTACTGGTTGCAGGATATGAATAATTATAGGGTCTTTTCTATAATTTATGAGTGGGGAGACGTTACAGGTCTAGCTGGACAGGTAGCTTACGGCACTTAACGTTATAAGAAGACCAGTGAATATTTAAAAACTAACACACACTGCATTCCGTGACCAACTCTGCCATAACTGTGCCTTAAACATTTATTACAACATTGTGATAAATAATATACACACCGTATCTTTTAAAATACCATATAAACCATACCTCAAGAATAGGGAGCCAGCTTCCCTATACATTATCCTACAACACGTCCCTAGCTTGTTGGGGATTTTTATATATATCTATTTTTTTGTAATCTAACGACAAATTTGTAAAACTGGATAACTACAGTAAGCAGCCTACACTATTACACAATTAATGCAGTATTGGCATTAAACTTCTATAAACCTTTGCACGCCAGTGAACTGAAGTGCCAGGCACGCCATAAACATTTCCATCTTGGAGCCCGCGTTGGGCAGTTGAGGGGTGGTGGGGGTGGCAGGTGCTGGACCTTTTCACCAAGTTCGTGTCGGCTCTACCATTTCCCAGGTATCGATGTTCCGCACTCGTACCAGCGAACGTAGTTAATGTGAGTCTCCCCGCCTATTTTTCCAAATTTAACAGGTTCCTGACGAACCGCCCTGAAAAATCCTGGAAGAGAAAAGAGAGTTTTGTTTGCAGGAAGCCCTCAAGATGGAGCCTTTCTTTGGCTTCCCTGTGAAGGCTGCATGCAATTCAATTAATGGCCAAACTGGTCACTATGCTGTTAACCCATCTGCCCCAAACAGGTCTGTTTGCTGCCCTTCCATCCAGTGGCTGCCCAAAACAGCCGGTGTTTGTCCCCCCAACTCAAAGAGAAGCAGAAGCTCTGGGGACTGCTGTGGCTCAGAGCAGGGGAGGTGAAGCCTGACCCCCCCTGCCCTCCAGACGTGAGGTCCCAGCATCACCCATGGATGGTGCTGGCTGGGTGAGTCTCCTGCAGCCTTCTTCCCCTCTGGCTGCTGCTGGGGGCTTCTCTAAACAGGAGGCTGGTCCTCCTTCCAAAGTGGTGATGATTAAATAGTCCCCCATGCAGTAGCCTTAATGCCCAAGGGAACCTAGGTAAGACCTGACAGTTGGGGGTATTTCACAGTATCCCCCCATCCCCAAGAAAACGATCGTAGCTCCTGCTTTAAATCTCTTTGGTGTGACAATACACGTGCTTCCCAGTCAAACAATAAATGTTAAGTTAGAAACTAAAGTGAGCAATTAGTGCTGAATCCAACCCAAGCAAAGGTGGGAGCTTTTTCTTGTTTGTATGTTTCGTTGGGGTTTTTTTTGGTTGTTTTTGTAATTTTTTTTCAGAAAATGAATGTAGCTCATGAATCCACTCCATTAAACCTAGTTCCTGAAAACAACTTGGTTTAAAATGTCTTTTAGGCTGGGGTAGCAAGCTTTTTATGTAGAAGTGTTTTTGTATTTATTTTTTTTTAATTTTAAAAATATTTTTAAAAAAAGTGTATCTGATACAACCGAGAGGTCTGCTGCCGTGGCAACGCCAAATTGGATTCAGACAATCCCTCATAAACAAAATACCTTCACAAATGGGCAACACTAACCGAGGAAGGAAAAGCAAAGCCCTCTTTAAAAAAAAATAATCACATAAGCAAACACCCTTCAGATCATTCAACTACTTTGTTTTTGAAAAAAGTTGTGAAAGATTTAGGCACTTGGCTTTAATCTCCCACACCTACCTGGATGCATTTCTGTACTTCTATAAGGTGTTTTATAAATGAAGCATTACATACAGGACGGTTTGGTCAACACACTGATATTGTACTGAAACCTGTTTTGATATTTCTCTCAGTAAAATATTCCATGGCACACGCAGCACACACCTGTGTATCAATAAAGCCTGTGTCCTTACCCCCCCCCCCAAGGGAGTGGACTCCCTGGTGCTGACAAACAACGAAGGCAGGAGTTCAGCTGACAGAAATACAATTTTCTTATGCCTGAGCCTCAGCAACGTGGAAAAAATAGCCAGGGAGGTCACAGCTGCATTTAGGACACCCAGTCCCATGCCCACTTCAACCAGACTGGAATGCTAGTCACCCGCTTCCAATTAGTGCACACAGAATTGCTACAGCATGAATTATATTTTCCAGTAATAACTTTTTAGCTTCTCATTAGCACTAAACAAAGCTGTTTAATGCCCAGCTGATGATTTACTGCACTTTAAATCGACCTTGCTAGTTTGAACATAACACTTCATGCCTCTCTGCGAACTCGAATTTGTGGTTGGGTTTAAATATGTAATACCAACTGTGAATAATCTGTTGGAATGTTTTAAACAGGAGAGAGGCTGTTTACTACCTAACAGAGCCCAAGTCATAACCCTCTTTTAATAAGTCATTGCTCATTTTCAAAACATCTCAACTCTCTTCTGTCTGCAGAGCCCATAGTCCCTTTCCATTGCCCGCCCCAGCAGTGGGTGCTGAATCCACTGGCGGGAAAAAGAAAGGCACAAAGAAAGGAATTGCCAAGGTTTGCTACACAGACAGGTGTAAGGAATTACCGTCTTTGACTGGTAGATCTTCTTGCTGTCCTGTCCTTCCATCTAAGAATGAGTCTACAAATTGGCAGTGATCTTCTCCATGGCCCCTCTGGTCTCCTATGTTATAAAATTTTCCTGAAAGCAGAGAAGCAGCAAAGTTGAAAATCAATATCCAGTTCAGTGAGTGCTTTTTCCAAAAACCACCAGAGGCAATGGGCCGTGCTCTTTGCTCTGTGGGGAAGCCAAGGTGAATGCTACCATTCTTTTCCTCTGTGGCTGTAATTTGAACATTACATGTGTGCTCCAAGTATACTCATGGCTGCACATGGGTTGGGGCAATCCCAAGCACAAACACAGGCTGGGCAGAGAACGGACCGAGAGCAGCCCTGAGGAGAAGGATTTGGGGTGTCGGTTGATGAGAAGCTCAACATGAGCTGGTAACATACTCTCACAGCCCAGAAAGCCACCAAAAGAAGTGTGGCCAGCAGGTCAAGGGAGGTGATTCTGCCTCTCTACTCCGCTCTCATGAGACCCCACCTCGAGTACTGTGTCCAGTTTTGGGCCCCCCTACATAAGAAGGACATGGACTTGTTTGAGTCGGTCCAGAGGAAGGCCACAAAGATGATCAGGGGGCTGGAGCACCTCTGCTATGAAGACAGGCTGAGAGAATTTGGGTTGTTCAGCCTGGAGAAGAGAAGGCTCTAGGGAGACCTTATGGGAACCTTCCATGATGTAGGAAGGGGGCCTACGGGAGAGATGGGGAGGGACTCTTTATCAGGGAGTGCAGTGAGAGAGGGCGCATTTAGATTAGGTATCAGGAAGAAATTATTTACTATGAGGGCGGTGAGGCACTGGAACAGGTTGCCCAGAGCAGCTGTGGATGCCCCATCCCTGGAAGTGTTCAAGACCGGGCTGGATGGTGCTGTGAGCAACCTGGTCTAGTGGCAGGTGCCCATGGCAGAGGGGTTGGAACTAGATGATCTTTAAGGTCCCCTCCAACGCTAACCATTCTGTGATTCTTGGCCGAAATCTATGCCTGAATGTGTTTTTTCTCCTCCCTGCACTTCATACATTAAGTGAAATTCTGTTTTTACCTAGAACCTCATCCTGATTGTATCAAAAATGAGGTAAGTTTTGCTGGTGATGTGAATGGAAGGCAGGTTTGGTTCCCTGTCAGGAAGCCCCCAGTGCATTCAAAGATTTTTTCATAGACCACCTCGTAACACAGCCAAGGCCTGTTTTGTAAATCATCATATTTTTACAACCTGTATGTGCAAGTGATATCCTTTAACAAATAGATGACCTCGGTACAGTAATTGCTTCTCCAGAGCATGAACCGTGCCCGTGTATTTATTTGCAGGATTGCTTAGCAGGACACTTGACTGCAACCGAATAGAAAACGAGGTCTCAAGTGCCCCTTGCAGTGTGTCCTGACGTTACGGGCTGTGCTCATCCCGTTAATAAGAAGACTCACAGTAAAGGACTTTTAACAGAGAGATGTTTTTTACTCACTGGTTTGATTTGCAAGACCTTAGTAAAATTCAGTTCAGAAGATGGAGGAAAGTGAGCTACTTTCTCCTCCCACACATTGGCAGGAAACATTTTCAGATAAACTTACCATTTTTTCTAAACTCCTTTCATAGCACTTTTTCTTAATATGTTCAACCCTTGGTTGTGAGGTTGAAAGGAAAGGTGACAGCATTTAGAGATAGACTCAGTACTCAGGTATAAGCTAAGCGGAAAGTCCAGCTACTCAGTAGATGTTGGGTGTCCTGTAGCCTTGAATCTGTGCCAGCCTGGCCATTTGAGGGATGGTGAGTGGCTTATAATACTGCTCCCCAAAGTGCCATTAATAAAAGAGCAGCCTCCCAATAAACTCTCTCTCTCTCCTATTTTTGTGAACTGATCAATATTTTGCCAAAATTTCTCACCTCCAGTTGACAGTCTCTGTGCATGCAGTTCTTCTCTAGCTTTAGAAAATTATTTATTACTATCTAGTTTTGGCTGCAGGCATGTTTTTTCCATAGAGCTGGTCAGAGGGAGTTCCTCTCAGCAATTTTTTGGTCTGAAATTAAGAACATTCAGGCTGCCCAAAACAGCATTTTTTTTTCCATGGCTGTTGAAGGTCACACTTAGAATTTATTTTTTTCCTCCCCTCAATAAATACTTTTTTTTTGGTGGCCTGCTTTTCTGGAATGCTTACAGTGACTGCTCTGGAGGACTATTAAATGAGATCAGCAGTAGATGCTGGTTTATAGAACAGTCCTGGCATGTGTAACATCGATCAGTTTTTCTTCATGAGAGACAGAATAAACCAGATATTTTTATGGCTAACACAAGAACAGTAACTTTCAGATACACACATATTCTTCTGGCCCACAGCGTAACCTATGCGTAATTAAAAAAATTGCTATATATAAATTAGCAGCATTCTCAGTGACTATTAAATTCTTACTGCCCAATTCTTTCCATAATAAAGGAACACACTTAAAAACATTTAGCTAACAAATGACTACATTAGTATTTCTCTTTTGGGGACAGTATTCTAGCTTAAATTAAATTAGTTTTTTCCAGTGTTCCCTTATGGGTGGTCTTAAGAAAATTAGATAACCATCTTTGTTTTATACATTGTGAATTCTGAATCGCTAGAAGTATAAATTCATGCTAAAAACCAGTATGCAAATATATGGTTGTCAGCTGCCTTATACAACAGCATTTGTACAATGTCCCTGAATTTCAAGATCATTAGGCTGCTTAAACAGCAAAGCTTTGGAAGATATTTTCAGCATAAAGGTGGAACTCAGAGCTCAGCACAGCCCTTTGCTACCAGTAGCCATTGCTGGCCCCGCTGGCTGGTGCTGGCAGATACACTTCTGCTGGCCTTGGGGCCACCATGAGACAAGGTGTGAGAGTGAAACACATCAGAACAGAGTTGGGCTTCTAATTGGAAACTTTCTCACTTGCAATTAGAGAGAACGGCCATGACAGTCTCACTGAGGAAACGGGAGTGGAAGGGGGGGAAGCAGTTTTCCTTCTACATAAATATTTCAATTTTTTTCAAATACTGTGACAACTGGTAAGCGCTGGTTGTAACAATTCAAGTGCAAGAACCACGCTTAGCAAGTATAATGAATACAATGTGGCTACCACCACCTTCCTCCAGCCAAGTTAAATCACTACCCTTCCAGCAAGAACAAAAACAATCTAATGAAAATAGGAAAATGGGCTCCTGATATATTAAACTTTTCTTCTAAGCCTGAAGTAGCTTTCACTGCAGTGTTAATTCACTTGATTTAGGACTGAAGACTAGTCCTGCTAGATTAGCACTGCTATTTCCTCTACTGGCTGGTTTGGTGATACACGATGCCTCATTGCCAGTGTTTGTCATCCGATCGCAGCCGGTTAGTACAGCAACAGTTGAATGAATGATACCTCTGTTCAAAACAGGCTCTTTTACTCACATAATTGCCAAGATATTATTTATATATGAGGTATTGTACTTACTACTAACGACAGGGCTTTCCTTCCTTGTCTGCTCATAGGAGAAATGATGCCAGGTGCAAGGCCGGGCAGGTTGAAATTCAATCTGCATGGGCTGCCCTACACTCCCCTGTTCTTTTCTTTCCATCTTCCTATATACAGAGACCAGAGCCCTGCTCCTGTGAGGTGCTGAGCTCTGAGATGGGCAACTTTGGGCTATGAAAGCTAATTCTTTAAGCCACAGTTTCTCTTACTTAATTCAAATGAACGTGATGAATGTACTATCTAACTCGCACTCAAAAGTAATTTCTAATATGCAGTTGTATTACACTCTTTGTGCTCTGGATGCCACACTAATGCCAGTGTCACCAAGTTGTCCATGCAGTTCTGATAAAAGACCTCATACAGAAGAAAGCCAGGTGCTTGGTACGGATTATAAGAAGTTAATAAATTTCTAAATATAGCTTGTACAATCTACATGAGACACAAAGTTCTGGAAAACACTTTTTACAGGCTGTTTCCCCAGCTTACATGCATCATGTGCCACTTGATTCAGGTCTTAAATACCTCACACTCTAGTGACCTCAAGGCACTGAGCAAAACTTGAGAAGGTAAGGCCAGGAGGCTGCTGGTAGTAATAGAACATAGTATAAGAAAAAAGAAGGTGTGTGTGGGGAAGAGTTTACGAGCAAAAATTGGGAATGTGAAAACAAAATAAAAATGTCAAAGCAGGTGCGTAAAACCTGTTGACTAGAGTTGAAGTCATGCATTTATAAGCCTCACAATAATGAAATAACCAGATGTTTACCAAGTGGGATGGGAATGACCGAGTTTAATCCTGGTCTAAAATTAGGTCTTAATCCTCTAATTAAGAGCTATTCCAGGGTACCCTTTAAATACAAATTTGGCACTTTTACAATATATGCTATTCCCTGGCAGAGACCTATCTTTATCAATTTTCTGTATGACCCCCACGATATTAACAGATACTTAAAATTTGATGATCACCACAGAGAAGTCACTCTTGACTCTGAAAATTCAATATCAAACACACAAATGATTACTGAGCACAAGCAGATTACTGTTTATGATCAATCTGTCTATGGAGTAGATTAAACATACCTGATCACACATCAGCAGAGCTTGTCTTATTAAACCTCTTAGTTCTGGAACCATGATATCTTTGAGGAGTGTCAAAATCAAACACTGATTTGAATGTCTCTTACCTGTAAGTGAATCACTGAGGTATATCTTGTATCTCAAAGAATTACACAGCTGCACACCTACAAACTTCTTATACCAAGTCCTCTTTACGTATTGTTTCCCTTTGCATTCTGAATAAGTGTCCGAATTGAATGGGATTTCAGTCCAGATGGCATCCTTTCCCACTACAGGAGAGGAAGAAAGAGGCTGAAGTACAAAATACAAAATTATTTACAACAAATACATTCAAATAAATAGAATTAGAAACCTTGATGGAGAAGAATGCATCATGGCACCAATCATCTGCATTTTGAGCATGAAAAGTATTTCAGGGAAGCACCAAAGGGTGCAGACATGATTGATGAAGTGAACTGCTTCTGCTCTCTGTGTGTGGTGCCAGTTTGAAATAAGGTCATTCTAGGACCTTATTAGGTGAACAATGTCTGTGTGTTGGCAAAACTCTCGTTTACAAAGTGTGCGACACTGTCACTGTTTTTCAGTGGGTTCAAGCCAGGACAGTCAGCTTGCAACAAGCTGTACGTGATTTAACAAACGTACACATAAAAATTAAGTGTCATGAATTATGTGGAAATAAATTGTGTCTCAGTGTTTGTCAAAGTGATGTCCATTACAAATGCAAAAGAAGCCAAATTTTCTTGAGCAAGCTCAGCTGTTCTTCAAAAGCCCTGTCCACTTCCCACCAAAGACAGCAAGAGTCTTGCAAGTGCCCTACAGCAGAGCTGGATCAAGCCTTCAGAAGCAGAAAATTTCTCTAAAGCACAATGGCAGATAAATAGTATCCCCTGAGTTGTGCTCTGTTAATTCACTTTAAAAGTGTGGAGTATCTTATTCATTTTACAGAGCTTTCTTTTGCTTTAATGACAAGGCTGAGAAAATACAAGGTTGTCCTTGGCTCATTTGTGTACATTGGTTTGAAGCCATCCCAGCTGCCATGGGAGCACCACATCACATTGATTGTGTTCCGTTCAGGTAAACAAGCAGCCTGGCATTAATTCCTGACCAGGTGTATGGGTGGAAGGAGTGAAATCATGCGTGAATGCTGTTTGATTCCGTAAATCATTTAATTGGTGCAGTACAGCCATCCCCCTTGGAAAATTATGCTATCTCTGAAAAAATTCCTGTTCAGAAGACACCATATTATACAAAAAAGGCTTACTTGAAATTGGCTCGCTCACTCTTGGGTCCGCTGGAGGAAGAAAACAAACATTCAATCAGACACTGTAAAATTACCTTTCCCGATATTTCAATGGAAAAACATTGGTAAGTGATATTCTACAGCTGACATAAGCTATTACTTGTGAAAGAGAAAGAATTTTGGAAGCAAATTTCACTTTTGTATTAAATTAAATGAAAAGAAATATCATTCTTATGTGAAACTATGGTATCAATAAGCTTTTAAAAATTTTACTTCTGAGACAATACCAAAGACAGTTGTAAAAGCAACAGTGTAAACCTGTAACCAGAAAAAAACAATTCTACCGCATCTTTTTTAAAATTTCAATTTCAAACCTAAAATAATAAAAAGGACCCCTCTGTAATACTTGCCACACAAACTTGGCTCTGAAAGCCCAAAAGCAAGAAATGGATGTGTGCAATTTAGAAAAAATAGACCTGACCGCTTAATTTGTCCAAACTAAATAGGAGACAGAACATAAGCCTTGTCATTCATGAAAACTGCACTTGGCATAAACATTTTTTCAGTGTTAACAATCTAGGATTACAAAGAGTGTATTCAAAGTTTTTAAATATGTGTGGCATAGTCTGAACTCCTCCCTGACTAATCTCTTGCTCAGCCAAAACTCTCATCCATCAGTGACAGCACTAGATGAGGACTATTGTATTATTACACCTGGCTCAACATGCAGATTGAGAAACTCATTTCAAAAAGGCTAAATCCCTTTTGTGTTTTATATGGTCCTTAAATACTATCAAACAATAAACACATCACAAAAGACGGTATCTTGCTTGTATTAAGTCAAAAAAGTCAACTATAGTTAACCTCATGGGGAACTGGAACAGGGAAAGCAAAGGTACTCTCTGATTCTCACCTCTGAGTCAGATAGGACTTAACTTGAGAACCAACCAATGGTCAAAATAGGCTTGTATACACCTCTTCACAGTTTCACAGGAGCATAAACAGGATGGAAGAGGACATACTGGGACACTGACTTTTCCGAATTGCTATTTCTCAGTCCTTATTTCAGCCAAAAGACATCACTTTCATACAGCAGCCTTATTGAACAGGTAAGTGCTCATAAACACACCAGCCCAAAGAAGAACCTTGTGTTCCCCATCCAGAAGTCAATAATGAGTTTGATAGGTACAAAAAAGTCAGGAACATTAATCTTAAGTGACTGAGACTTCTGTAAGGATAAAGTTAGTTTATTCATAATGAACAACCAGACAAAGTCTCTGTGCTCCTGTTTTTTTATCCTGCAGTCTGGCCAACTTACATCCTCATACGATATAGCACTGATCTCAGGCTGACCTTCCAGGCACTACTGTAACAAACTCAGTAGTCAAAACCCAACGTGGAGATAGTAAAGAGAAAGACCAAACACGCAAAATGAAGCAAGAGAGCCTTTCATATATCCCACAACCATGGATACTAGAGCCATTGTAAATGATGGTTGGACTTTTGGAAGTTCTTACCTGATTCAGTACTGAATGTCACAACATTGCTACTTGGACCTTCACCAAGAGGGTTTCTAGGTTTCACATGGAATTCATAACTGGGGAACAAAATAGAAGAGATACAAATTTTGCAAACAAAGCATTCTGTCTGAGTCTGCAGCAAGCAAACTGCCAACACACACCTTGGTGCTACTTGTCTCCTGGAGAAAAACAAAAAGGCCTCCTTTCTTGCCCTGAAAATACTGAGACATTTTTTGCCCTAACTGTATAAGGCCTCTCTGAACACATAATTTACCAGTCTTTTGATAATTCTTTGCACAAAGTCTATTAATGTTTGATTGAATGCACCACTGGTTTAAGTCTGTCTCATCTCACACATGCCGTTTCAGTTCTGGCAAAGGGTGCAGTGAGTAAAGCGCATTGCTATTTTTTTGCACATTTTTCATTCATAGGAACACAAACTTCTACTTCAATGCATCTCAGGCCCACCAACAGTGACAGACAGGGTCAGTGGTGAAAGACAGGGCATGTCTTCTAGGACAGGAGCTCGGCCAAGGCAAAGATCCAATTGCTTGAATGTATGTTAATAGTAAATATATGAAGTCCCTTTCTTATCCTTTCACAGTAATGTTGCACAACACCAGTCTGTTATCTCATGATCTCTTTTCATCACAGCTGTGTTGGGAACCAAGCACAGTGTGATGAAAATGGAACAAGCCTCTGCTTAAGCCTCTCCCACTCCTCAATACTTGATTAACAGTGGTGGACAGGCAAGACAAGGTGGTTTCTAACTCTGCAGCTCAGATGGAACTTACACTTTCAATTAGAAGCTCTAGGTAAACAGCTATTGAAAGATAGTTGCAAGCCTAAAAATTTTACACAGAAGACACCAGACAGATTAGGCAGGAAGGAGAGTTACACGGGTGGACACAGTTTAAGATCTCTCATCAAGGGCAGAGCAAAGAACAGACTCTTCATTTCCTTCCTCCCAGCACACACTGTCCCAGCAAGCCGCTTCTCAGCTCTCCTGGATCCTGGCTGGCAGCATCTGGGAATTTCTCACTGCTCAGCAATGGCTCAGTGCCTCCCTGTAGGACCTGCATGCCCTCCACGCCAAAGCACCATGATGAGGATGATGTACACACCCAGTCAACAGCACCCTCTTCATGCCCTCGCCACGAGCTATAAGCAATAATCTGTCCCACAAGTGCAACCTACGGAGAGGCTTTCCATATGCTTTGAGTGCATACATGGTGACTCTCTCTTAACACAGAGCATTTTTTCATCAGCAAGAGAAATCTACAGGACATGAGTCAAAAAAGACTGTAGGCCTGGAAAATGGGCCCTAACTTCGAGACTAAACATGGAGAAAAAATGAGAATCCCAGAAGTGAGTAATTAAAGATCCAGCTCTTGACTCGTGAAGGATCACTTACCAATGATAACTTGGTAGCTCGTGACTATAGCATAGCATTGTAATGTATTGCAGAAATTGTTTCCAAACAGCAATTTTCTAAAGAAAAAAAAGCATACCACTCTCTGCGTGGTTGGAAATTTGTAAACTCCATGTGCAAGTCCCTACAAGAGACAGAATAATTCAATCCAAACTTTGGATTACCTCTTACTGCTTCTTGGCTCCTGCAAAACCTGAACAGCTCGCTAATTAACCTCAGTGGACTAATCATGCAGTACCAAGCAACTGTTTTCCATCCACAGTACTTCTAAGACAATATTTAACATTGAATTGCTTACATAGGCAATTGCCTTTATTTCTAGGGTTTTCTTTTCTTTTTTAAGGGAAATACTTACAAAGATTGGTATGCTGAACAGATGCATTGTGGATAATTGGTGGATATTTCTAAGTGAAACATAGGCTTGTGTTGAGCTTTAAAAAGTCCGTTTGGAGTAATCTTAACATTTATTTCAACATGCTGCAAGACCATTTCGAGCAACTTGCATTACCCTACTGTAGGGGGGAGATATTAAATAATAAATTAAATAGTAATTTCTAGACACAAAATTTTCTTCATGATCAAATTGTTTAAACAAATACTTTAAAAATTGGATCTGAGCAGTTAATAGTTCACATTGGGCATGTGGTACAGTAACTTTTTTGGTCAAGAAGTATTCTCATCTGGTAGGAAAGGTCATTATCTGGAGAACTGTAGCAAAGCAGTTGGAGATTCCTTGTGAATAATCACTGAAGCATAAATGAAGATTTGCTGATATGTTGGGTGTTTTAGAGTAATAGCTTGAAGATACCTTTTGGACAATGTACAAATTAATGCACGCTTAGGGACAGAAGACTCCAAAGAAGTTTTCCAGCTTTCTTCACAGCAGCAACACCTTACCTGGAGCTATTATTATAATTTTGATCGTTGTTAGCTCAACATGGCATCTTCTATTGCTTTACTGGGAATTTATGATTTGACCTTATGGATGATAGTAATCTACCTGTGCCCCTTTGTATGAAATCAAAAGGAAAAAATGAAAAGCACTGTCTAGGTTTCCTGACCTAGAGATTTTTGATTCCATAAGCTTGGCTACAAGGAAAGGAAAAAACTGAGCAAGTGAAATGCTCTTACAGAATTGGACTGGGCAGCCAAAGGGACTTGGAAGGTAATGATGGAGGCAAGTATGAACCACAGATAAGGATCTGCAGTCAGCATCTCTGGATCTCGCTGAAATATGTAAGGGTATCACAGAATTTGCAAGCTGGACTTACATGCTTCTGCAAGGCAGTAAAAATCACAAGATGCACAAGATGGTGGAGGATTTTGAAACATATTTAAGTATTTTGCTGATTTTTGTAAAAATATATTATGCTCAAGAGCTGATATGCCCTACTTCGAGTTGCATCAGGCAACATTCTTCACAGGAAACAGTCCTGTTCCCAAAACACTTAAGTTGAGGAACTTGGACCTATCAATTCTCTAGCTCCATAAAAAGACCAAAACAAGAACTGAAGACTAAATATTTTCCAAGTAGTGTTATTCAAATTGTGGTCTAGGGACCACTAGGATCTCTGCAAAAGATCAAACCACAGTTGAAAAAATTATGGCAAGATTGAAATAAAGAACTAAAATCTACGCATAGAGATTTCAGCTCATTTAAAAATATAAAATAAAATTGGAGAATAGAGAAGCCTCCTATATTAATAATGTTAAAGAACAAATATATTAAACCAAAATATATACAATTCTACAGTTTTGTGGTAGGTGTTTTCACAGATGCCCAAGCATCACAGGCTCCTTTCCTCTGCCAAATTCAATCCTGAAACAATACCAGTGGCTGCAACAGTACAAGAACAGCAAATAACCACTTTTGGAGCTGAAGAGAAGTAACTAGTTGACTGAAAACTGAAAGGAAGAGAAAAGAAAAGTTAGGCTGAGCTCACAATTTGATAAGAGTTCACAGATCTAACTTATTTTAAAGCCATAGTGTAGCTTTTTTTCATAGGAAACCATTTAACACCTCCCTTTTTGTGTGTCAGGTGAAAGATCTGAAAAATAAAAAGAAAATGGTCCAAAAAAAGGGTACCTGCTGCAATCTTATGCACTTTTATACAAACCAAAAGAGAGGGGAAAAATGCCTACAAGTTCAAGAAAGTATGTAGGGCAATAGGGAAATAGGAAAGCTATATAGTGATTACCCCATGTCTACCTCTTAGCTATACTTATTCATGAGAAACTGTAGTCTATATTCCATCTTTATAATTGTGTGCTTATGATGCCAAAAACTCTGCTACCCAATATAGGTAGCAATCTAATGTGTCACACCTCTAACATCTATAAGATTGCTATCCTACAGACTTTGGAGACTAGGCCTCTCAAATCCTCCCAAACTCCTTAAGAAATAATAGTCCTTGTGCAAATGGTCTTGACCTAGAGTAATTACTGTGCAGAGCATATTTTTCCACCATAGGAAATCACTATTCCACATGGAACTTTGGCACAGCTGCTCCTGCATTTTTCAAATCATGCAAAAAGAGAAGACTGAAGATTGCAGAACTGAATATAGGTGAAGAGAGATTTTCACCATAATAGGAGGACTGGAGCAGCAGAGTACAGATCTGGGACTTCAGGTTAATTGGTGGGGAGATGCTGGTGGTTAGATGACAACCATGCAGGACTGTCTCAATGTGTAGAGCTTCTTTGTCTCTGCAGAGTGTGCTCGGATAGCAGTATGATCAGGCATAGCAAATAAAACTACTCAAGAGAAGGGAACAAAAAAGAAAGAAAGAAAGAAAGAAAAACGCTGGGCTTTTTTGAGGAGTCTTTCTCCTGATCAAGTTGGAAGAAGGGCTGAGAGAAATGGGAAATGCTTACCCTGCCATCAACAGCAATTTAGTGCAAAAATCTGTTACTTTTGCAATAAAGAGTACAAAAAACTCCAGCATTTTTCTGCCACTTTCTGCATTGCAATTTTCACTGTAGTTCTCATCTCTTGACCCTTGCTATTAACAAAAGCATGGGTAGATTACTTTTTTCTTTATGTGATTAGCACATACTGGGTGTTAACTGCAATGTAAAACAATAAAAGATAATGGTAATAACAGGATGAGTAGGTATGTATCGATTAGTGTGTATAAGTGCACAAAAAGCTTATTCAGTAGAGGTATGGCTTGGTATGGCCTTTGAGTAACATTGTCTTTTTTTGTTTCATACCTTTTGTAAGACATAAGAAAAAACTTTTGAAGGAAACAATCCACACAAATAAAAACGGTTTGGTACCTACATATATCCTACACATTACATGATTATTTTACAGTTTTGGTTGATTGGGTTTTTTGTTTTTGTTTTTTTTTTGGGGGGGGTGTCTTGGATTTATTTTTATTTTTTTTAAAAAACATTTCCTGTTATTTATATTCATCAAGAGAGCTCTCAAAATGTTTTTTAAAAGGAGAAATTGTATTTGAAATCACCAAACTACTTAACTGGGCAAAGGATCACTACCTAAAGGGAAGTTTTACAAAGCTGTGGAATGCAAGCATCACAGGATTTTTGTTTCTTGTTAATACCTTTTTTTTCCTATTAAAAATGTATAGCAGCAGGCTGGTGGAACACATCCTCTAATGGCTACCTGAATTTTGCCAGAGC